GTCCTCCTGTCTAACTGTTGCTGATTCCATTTGCTCCCCATGCAAGTGTAAGACCCCACATTTGGCCTGTGGACCTGCCAGTAGCTAAATGGAAAGGATCTGACACCACTTCAACTTTCTTTATAGAAATCATTGACCTCAATTTTCATAATAAATCTCTTTAGAAATGCATTTGTTTTGAAATAATCCAGGAGAAAGATGTCAAATTATTTTGAGATAGCTCTTCCATCATTTAACAATTCCCGCAGAGTGCCTGCCATGGGCCAAATTATGACTTTGATCAAATTTGGGGGAGAACCTACTGAAATCCTGTTATAGGCCCCTTTTATTCATCCAGGACACCTACAAAAGAGCTTACCATGGCCTCTTCAGCCCCAACCATCAAAGCTCTCATTCTAACCGCCCCGTCTCTTCCCAGGCCTCCTTCACCCTCACTCCAGCTCTCATTCTGATGTGTTCTGCTACACACCAGGCCAGCATTTCTTAAATTTGAGTAATCTACAAAAGTTTCCACATACTCCCAGAATTGACCTAAAATATTCTATTAGATCTTCAAAATATGTACACCAGACACAACCTCCTGAAGCTTCTAAGCCTTATACAATTACAAAGCCAAAGTAAATGTATAAGAACATTTCAAGAAATGCTATAAAACACAATTTAACACTATTAATTGCATGTGATAGAGGAGGTTTGGCTACAACAAATGTGTCACTTACAGCCTGACTATGGCACTCATGCTACAACCAAGATTCCTTTGATAAAAGGGTGCTTACATTACTAGGGCAGCAGGATGGCTCAATTCTCTCGCCACTTTTTCTCTAACCTATACCAGAAAAGGGTGTCATCCAGCCTAAACTTGGTAGAAATTCTTCATTTATAAATCAATCATTAGCAAGAAACAAAGACTACTACTTATGGGCCGGAACAAAGGTAAACACAGGTGCTGAAGTTTCCTGGGAAGATGTTGTTGTAACATTACCATTCAGATGATTCAAAATGTGTTTACATCAGTTTACTATTATCAAAATGAAAACACAAAGTTCAGATACTCTGGAGAGAAGTGAAGTCCCTGAGGGTATATGCTCTGGACAGAGGACTCCTGAGCCCAACCTATGGCCACCTCTCCAGATCCACTCCCCATCCTTACTCTCAATCCGGCTACCATATGGGAAAGCAATATGATGAATCGTTTCCTCATGCGGAGCAAGGTCTTACTTTCCAAGATGTTCAGCATATAAAAATAAATTCTTGGAAGAGACCACAGTGTCTTTAATCCAAATAGTACATTTTTAACTCTAGAATCTCAGGCATGAGGATGGGGAAAGAGAGAAAGGGAGAGAGAGGAAAGAGGAAGAAGAGAGATTTATTTACAAATTTCTAGAAAAATATTGCTCAATCCCCATTGCTCTTTAATAACAGCACATTCTACATGCAATTCTTTTCATCTCTCCATCAACAGCATTTTGACTATTAATGTCATTCCCCCCAAAAAATTCCAATTTATATATGCCTGATGTTAAGTATGCACATACATGGGTGCACACGCACACACACACACACACACACACACACACACACACACACAGCCACTCAGGTCCATAAACTTAGATCTAAGTAACTCAACGGCACCAGCCTCTCCCTTCTTTTCCTTTCTTAACTTTCCCTGGGAAAAGTACCAGTGTGGTCCTAAAGGCAAAAGTAGCCCTGGAAGGAGAAATTTATCTCTCATTATCTGTAGCTGAAGGCAGAGACCATGATGGAGGTGGAGGTAGAACAGTCCATCCCCAAGAGGACACTCACAATCTCTCTCACTCCAAAATGTTTTAACCTCGGGCTAATAGGAAACAGCTATATTCTCAAATTTAACTCACTAACCTTTTCACAAGGTCTACTGTGTGAGATTCATTTTGGATCCTACACCTTTCAAGAAAGCTAAACTGCAATAAATAATCACAATATTGGCAGCAGCATTAGTAATAACACAGCTAATGTGTGTTGTACTGGCATGTGTCATAAGGGCTTTAGATTTTCTCATTTAGCTCACAACTTTGAGGTATGTCAAATTACCACAAGTGACAATGTTGTCACATTTTAAATATTTACACACAGCTACTCCTGTAAGTTTAAATATTAAAACTAGGGTTCTGAAAATGTTATTAGCATGCTCTGACACAGAAAGGCAACCTTGGGCTCAATATATTATCCATTTTTTCATTTACAATTTATTTATAAATTATTAAATAGATACAAAAATAATGAAGACAAGTGTAATAAAAAAACTTTTTAAAACTATGGACACTATAGCCCTGGCCAGTGTCGCTCAGTTGGTTGAATGTCATCCATGCACCAAAAGGTCTCCAGTTTGATTCCAGATCAGGGCACATGCTTAGGTTGTGGGCTCAATCCACATTAGGGGATGTGCAAGAGGCAGCAGATCAATGTTTCTCTCGCTCTCTCTCTCCCTTCACCTTCCTCTCTCTTTAAAATCAATAAAAACATTTTAAAAATAGTGGTCGGCCAGGGCTGCCATAACAAAGTACCATAGACAGGGTGTTGTAAATAACAGAAATTTATTTTCTCACGGTTCTGGAGGCTGGAAGATCAAGATTAATGTGCCTGCCGGGTTAGGTTTTTATGAGGCATCTCTCCTGGACTTGTAGAGGGCCATCCTCTAGCTACTTCTTTCAGGTGTTCTTCCCTCTGTGCTTATGTGTCACTGAATATCTTTTGTGTGCCCAAATTTCCTCTTCTTGTAAGGACACCAGATTGGATCAGGACCTACTCTAAAGGCCCCATTTCAACTCAATCATCCATATAAAGATCCTATTTCCAAATAGCATCACATGAGGTACTAATGGTTGGGACTTCAACATAAATATGGGGGAATACAATTCAACCCATAATAGACACCCATATCGCACTTCAGTTAAATAAATTGAACATGTTTAGTCCCTCTGTGGTATCCTCCTAGATCACAATCCTCATACCTCCTGGTAACCACTCTTCTGATTTTTGTTTTGAATTTCTTAATAGTTTTACCAACTATATTTATATGTTTTTTTACAACTTTAGTTTGTTCTCAAAAAGAACCATTTAAAGCAATGAATTTCCCTCTAAATATTGCTTTGGCAGCATCTTCCAGAGACTTTGATATATTGGGTATGATTTATTATTATTTCAAAATATATTCTGCTTTGACCAATGAGTTATTTAAAAGTGTGTGGTTCAATTTCCAAATGTGGAGGAATTTTCTAGAAGGCTTTTTATTATGAACTACTAATTTAATTTTGCTATTGTCAGAGAACATATCTTGTATGATTTCAATTCCTTTTAAATTACAGAGACTTATTTGATGACTCAGCATATGGTCTCACATTTGGAATTAATATAATGTTAACAATACCATCACTAAGTTGATTCAAAATACCAGTCACTTATAGGATTGCTTATGTAAGTAGAAGCAAGTTGAAAACAATTTTTTTTAATTAGGTGAAAGTTTGACTACTACTTATGGAAAATGGACAGAGCATTTCTTTTCATGGACACAAAGTGCTGACTAAAAGAGGCTGATGATAGTATAATCATATCTTAGAACTACACCCTTAAAATATTTTTAATATATTTTTATTGATTTCAGAGAAGGGAGAAGGAGTCAGAGATAGAAATATCAATGATGAGAGAGAATCATTGATTGGCTGCGTCCTGCACGCCCCTTACTGGGGATCGAGCCCACAACCTGGGCATATGTCCTTGACTGGAATTGAACCTGGGACCCTTCAGTCCACAGGCCAATGCTTTATCCACTAAGCCAAACCGGCTAGGGCAGAACTACACCACTTTTAAACAAATCGTACAATTTCTAAAACAAATACGAATCCCTTACTCTACCTCTAGGTGTCATGTACTGGGTAATATCAAGAGATCAACAAATTATCTTAAAACTTATCCTATGGCAAATTGAACTGAACCAGTATTTGAGATTTCTTTAAGAAATAGCCAGTAAAAGAGACTAACATCAATGTTTATATAGAGGAGGATAATAAAGGGTAAAGGGGGGGCCAAATATATAGTGATGGAAGATGATTTGACTTTGAGTGGTGGGCACACAATGCAATATATGGATCATGTGTCATAGAAATGTGCACTTGAAACCTATATGTTCTTATTAATCAGCTAGAGGCCCAGTGCATGAAATTCGTGCATGGGTAGGGTCCCTAGGCCTGGCCAGTGATCAGAGCCGATCGGGGCCTTCCGGCTGCTAGCCGAGGCCTTCCTTCCAGCTGCCGACCGGGTCCTTCCTTCGTTCTGCACCGCCCCCTGATGGTCAGCGCACGTCATAGTGAGCGATTGAACTCCCGGTTGAACTCCCGAGAGGACACTTTGCATATTAGCCTTTTACTAGTATATAGATATAGATGTCACCCCGATAAATATAATTTTTAAAAAAGATTTATATAAAGGTTATATACCATAAAAATGTAAACCTTTTTTTGAAAGGTTTCCAAATACATCACAGGACAAACAAGCATATAAAACCACTGTTATATTTCTTAAAACGATGGTAACTTTAAAATATTTTCTTTAAGCGAAAAAACAACACTCCAGGCTTACTTGTCTTACTATAAGTACTGTCATTTTGTTAAATACAGTTTCCCCAAAGCTATCTAAACACCAGGATTCAAAAGTAAACCTTATTTGGATGAGTTTCTAATAAAGGACTTGACCGACATATATTAAAAAAAAAAAAAGAAAAGAAAAGAAAAGAAAAAAGCTAGGCAAAAACCTCAAAGGAAGGGGCTAAAAATGTTTTAAATTTTCAACCTGGGGATAAACATGAATTAGGAGAAACACAAATGTTTCCTAAATACTTTATATCATACAGCTAAGTAGAGAGGATTCTTAATGTCTAATCCTTAAACTTCTTTAAAAATAAATTTCCATAAGTACTATGGAAATAGCATACTCTAATTTTGGAAATAATCATGGTCACTACTCACATGTTTGCAATCACCCTTTCAAACAAGATTCCAAATATGCAGCTTCTGGGGTTGCTCCGTTCCAACATGCTATTGGTAATATTGTATGCATAGAGCTCTGGTTGGACTGTGCTCATACAGGTTCAAACATTCCTCTGGTGAGCCTGTGTTAATGAAAATTCTCCTTTGGACCACTGTGACAGAAACCTGTGGCAGAGCCAGAAAGCAGCCTCATGCATATCTGCAACTGTACATTTTTCAGGCATTACATTAGGTTTTCTTATACAGTCCCCTATTAAAATGGTTTAAATTCCAACCAAGCCTTGGGAAACAGAGCACACACTATCTCAAGCCTTTCCACAGCATCTGGCTATGAGACCGGAGTGGTCAAATGAAAAAACAAAAGTGGTTCCAACTCATGTTGGGGAGGCAAATTAAGCCTTCCTATGGGATCAAGGGGCAAAGCCTTTTGTTATCATCGATTGTGAAATTTCTTATGACAATTTTGATTTTACAAAATTAGGTTTAGGCCATAGCCTGCAGGTAATTCTCTATTGCATTCTGGATTAATTCACCTGTATGGCTAATTCCTGTCAAAATGACAAAGGACGATTGATTTCTTTTGGTGAGGTATCCTTATCAATAGCAATGTCGAGGGACTGATTGATGGAGTGTTAGAGGAAAGGACCATTAATTGATTTGTAATAAATAAAGCAGAATCTCTACTTATGACCAGCAATTGAAAAAGGCAGATCTTTATTCATTGGTAAATGTTTTTCATCTAAAATGTATAAAGCAGTCCAACTCAACAATCACTCAACTTATTAATATAACAGCTTTATTAAAGCAATTCCCACTGACATGGCCCAAGTTAAAGGCCACTCAGCTCAGTCATCATAATATTAAATAAGAAAAAACTTAAAAGTCTCATGGAAAATGTCACTCAAAGTTACATTGTGGTGTAATGGAAAAACCTGCAACTCTGGAATCAGATGATTCAAATTCCAGCTTGGCACTTATTAAGCATTTTCCTAAAATTGTCTGAGTCTCAGTTTTCTCATTTCCAAAATTGGTAAACCCCTACTTTGCAGAGTAATTGTACTGAATGAGGTAATAAATGTAAAATGTCTAATACATAGCATAGAATATAATAGTTGCTTAATAGCCAGTTTTATTAGTATTATTGCTTTGAACAAAACCATAAGAGCAAATCATTTTATCCTTTGTCCATGTTCATATTAAATTAACAGGGCAAAGTAAAAAATTCATGTAATGGGCTTCAATTATGCTCTTCTTCACTTAAAATAAAAAATAAAACAGCATTTTTTAGCAATAAAATTGTAT